AATCTTGTTAAAATTATTGCCATAGTATGTATGTATGTATGTATGTATGTATGTATGTATGTATGTATGTATGTATGTATAGTGGCATTGGACGCAACTAAGGTACAGCACATGTGACACAAGTTCATACATCACATCACGTCAAGACCTGGGCTGCAGAACACTGCATTGCTTATTATTTAATTTGTGGGATTTTTTTTTAAAGTTGTTGTTCACTGACAAGAATGAAACAGGACCAACTATGCTGTCGGACCAAGTCCAGAGATGACACGGTCACATCCAATTGAATTGTTTGCTTACACTTAATAAAATCTTGCCAAACTAAATCTATAACCTACTCACTTACTAGATACCAGTATATCCTGAGAAATTCGCGAGACCCTGAATTTCTTCCCCCCTCCTTCATCCAGCTTGGGACTACGCAGTGTTTCGATCTGGACCTTTCTCTGTGAAAGATCTGGGAAACATGTTTTTCCAGGCATTCATTCCATCATATATACAATTTTAAAAGATTAATAACTAACAATCATGCTATCATTTTCCTACTGCTTTCCCTGCAGATGCAGGCTAGGGACTGGGACTGGGAACAGCAAGTTGTATGTTTGTTGCCTTAGATTTAGAAGTATTGAAAGAGCTTCTGCAAATAATGAGACTTGATCCCTGTCAACATCCTGAATTTCTTGCTTTTCTAATCAGATTTTCTAATTGTCCTTTTTTCCCCATCAAACAGTTGATGATCAGGAGAATGACAACTACCAAGAGCTGAGTGTGGTGCCAGAAGTAATCAAGATTGAAATAAAAGAAGAGACATCTACCGATAAGTTTGGAAGAAGGCAATATGAGAAAAAACAGTGCTACAACTGGAGAGAAAACTCCACTCTTGAATGTATGGAATTGGATTATCTCCTGACCCAAAATGTTTGTAAGGAAAATGGGATGGGAAACTATCAAGGAAATGGGGAAATATTCCAAGCAAAACCCAATTTCAGTAATTGCCACCTCAGCAATAAAAGTGACATTGTTCCTCATAAAATGATCCATACAGGAGAGAAACCTTATAAACATGTGGACTCTGGAAACAGCTTGAGATGTACTAGTAATCTTAACTACCATAAGAAGATCCATTCCGGGAAAAAGCCTTATAAATGCACAGACTGTGGAAAAGGATTCGGTTCAAACAGTTCCCTTACTTATCATGAAAGGATCCATAGGGGAGAAAAACCCTACAAATGCCTAGAGTGTGGGAAGAGCTTCGTACAAAGTAGTGACCTTACTTCCCATAAAAGGATCCATACAGGGGAAAAACCATATAAGTGCATGGACTGTGGAAAAAGCTTCAGTTCGAATAGTTCTGTTAATTATCATAAAAGGACACATACAGGTGAGAAGCCCTATGAATGCATTGAATGTGGGAAGAGTTTTAGCAAAAGCAGCGTCCTTACTGCCCATAGAAGGATGCATACAGGAGAGAAACCCTATAATTGCATTGATTGTGGGAAATGCTTCAGTTTAAACAGTTCCCTTACTTCTCATAGAAGGATCCATACAGGAGAGAAGCCATATAAATGCATAGAGTGTGGGAAAAACTTCAGCAAAAGCTGTTACCTGACTTCCCATGAAAGGATCCATAAGGGAGAGAAACCCTTTCAATGCATGGAGTGTGGGAAGAGCTTCAACAAGAGCAGTGTCCTTACTTCCCATAAAAGGATCCATTCAGGGGAAAAACCTTATAAATGCATGGATTGTGGAAAGACCTTTCATGGCCGTGGCCACCTGATGTCTCATAGGAGGACTCACACAGGAGAGAAACCCTATAAATGTCTGGAGTGTGGAAAGAGCTTCAGTCATAGTGGTTCCCTTACCTCCCATAAAAGAGTACACACAGGAGAGAAACCGTATAAATGCATGGACTGTGGAAAGAGCTTCAGTCGAAGTAGTTCCCTTACTTGCCATAGAAGGATCCACTCAGGATTCAAACCTTATATATGCAATCAATGTGGGAAGAGCTTTAGTACAAGCAGCTCTCTTACTTATCACATTAGTATCCACACAGGGAAGAAACTATATCAATGCACGGAGTGTGGGAAGAGCTTCAGGTTGAAAAGTCACCTAAATTCCCATAAAAAGATCCACACAGGTTTGAAACCTTACAAATGTATGGAATGTGGAAAGAGTTTTTCTGAAAACAGGACTCTTATTTGTCATGAAAGAATCCACACGGGGGAGAAAAAATATGCATGCATGTTGTGTGGAAAGAATTTCATGTGGAGTAATCAACTTACTTCCCATAAAAGGACCCATTTGGAGGAGATGCCTTTAGGAACTAAAGCGTCCTTAATTCATGTAAATGGATCCACTATGATATGAAACCTTATAAAAGCATGGAGTGCAGACAGAACTTTAGTCAAGAATTGACTAAACTGATTCATGTTAAAACACTTGATGTGCAGGACTATATATCTGCAGGACTAATTTTCCCTGAGGATATCTGTCTGACATTATAAATTGCTCTAAAGCACTATAGAGTGGTATGTAAGTCTTAAGTGCAATTGCTATTTGCCTGTTCCACCAGAGCAATGGAGTTGTCCCTTCTCTTAAATATTGCCATCCTGTGGGTCTTCAGAACCGGCCTTTTCTTTTGCAGTGTCTGCCCTATAGAACACACTTCCCAAGAGCTGATAGTCTCTGCTCCTTTAACCCTTCCACAGAGCCCTTAAACTGGGTGCATTAGAGAAGTGAGGCTGAGGCACCTTTTTTTGCTGTTTGCTTTCATATTGCTTTATACTGCTTAATGGCTGTAAGCCATTCAGTTGTTTTAAGATTGGCAGCTATATAAATGTTTAAAGTTTTAACTAAGTCTATATAGGTAACCCTCACTTACCGAAAACAATAGGGATTGGCAACTTCATTATTAAGCCATGTAGTCATAAATTGAAACATATGATTGTGCTGGTCTTACATCAATTGGTCAGTTCCACTTGTAATTGTTAATCAAATCCTCTGTGGTTATAAAGGACAATGTGAAATGATTGCAACATGTGACTTGTGGCTTCCACATTGACTTCATGCTTATGAGAATGAATTTAATTTTTTATTATGTGGCCTGAAATCAGGGTCAGCTCTCGTGACTCTACAAACAGGGAGTCCTTAACTTATTACAATTGGATTGGAACTTTCACTGCAAAACAATTGGTCACTAAGCAAGTAAGGGCAAATTTTGACCTTTTTTTGCCTCAGTTGTTAAGTGAATCCAGCTTCCCTGATTGACTGGCTGGCTGGGAAGGTCACAAAAGGTAAGCACACGCTACCCCAGGACGCTGCTGCAACTCTTGTAAATATATGCCAGCTGTCAAGCACCCTAAGTTGCAATCATGCAGTGGTTGTTAAATGTGAAGATTGACCGTGTCACTTTGTTCAGTGCCTTTGTAACTTTGAAAGGTCACTAAAACAAACGGTTGTAAAATGAGGATTAGCTTGCAGAGACTCTGCCCAAGATAATCTGTCCCTAACGGCCTCCTTCAGTTTTCCCAACAGTGTCCCGCTGCCACTGTAGTCAAAGCAGTCTGGTGGATGGCACTCTGTTAAGAGAAGCCGTGAGAAGCTGCTAGGACCACAACAAGAAGAAAAGATCAAATAAAGGTTAGCGGAGACACTTGGGCATCCCCTATGTGGAAGTAAGAAAATGTGCCCAGACACCAAGCAAAACTGGCCCAAAGTCATGATTTTCTATGGGGTGTCTTGAACCAATTAAAACTACTAGTATAAAACTACTGATCTGTGAGGTTTATAAGCTTGTTGGTGTGAGGGCCCACCAGAGATTCCTTGGTTTGTTCCTCTAGTCCCCAGTGTGGATTTTTTCTCTCGTTACAGAAATAAAAAGTTTTAAGCATATTCCTTTCCTTCCCACCTCTGTGATTATTGCCTATTCACACCAGACGAAACAAACCTCTCACCTTGTGCTGAGTCAATGCATGAACCCTGCAGCTCATCCGCCTCTTCCACAGAGCCCGATTCTCCTTTTATGGCCCTTCCTTCCGCCTTGAGGGAGCTGAGAAAATTCAGCTTTGTGGAGGCCGGTTTGGGAGACCATCAGGAGATCCTATGTCCGCATAGGGAAGCTGCCAAAGGCTTTCCAGGGTTTGAGGGGAAACAAGACCCCAGAGATCCCCTTGACGGGATCCAGGTGGTCACCAGAGGATCACTTCTGTCAAAGCTTCTCTCTCTCTCTCTCTCTTCGGGGCCTCAAGCCCAGGGCTGCCTCTCCTCAGGTGGAGTCTGTGTGCGAGACAGTTTAATGTATGTGTATGCCTTTCCTCGGGGAAAGGAGGGAGAGTCGCGTCCAGCGGAGAAGCAGCTGAGGCGATTCCGAGGCTCCCGTTTCCCGCCAAAACCTGACAGGCGCTGCTCGCCCGCCATTGGCTCGGCCGGGTAACGGGACCCCGCGGGCCCACGCGCCCCCTCCCCCCCCCCCCCCCCCCCCCCCCCCCCCCCCCCCCCCCC